CTCAAGGCTAGCGCTCTACCACTTGAGTCACAGCGTCACTTCTGGCTTTTTTCTTTTTGCTTATGTGGTGCTGAGGAATCGAACCCAGGGCCTCTGGCATGCAAGGCATGCGCTCTACCACTGAGCCACCTTCCCAGCCCTCTGTGAGAGTCTTATCTCCAATTAACCACCAGAAAACTGGAAGTGGTGCTGTGGCTCAAGTGGTAGAACCCTAGCCTTGAACTGAAGAGCTGAGGGACAGCACCTAGGCCCAAAGTTCCAGACCTACGACTGAAAAAAAAATACGGAGTTGTCCTGTGTAGAGGATAGCTTTCGGGTCCAACAACGTTCCTCATCTGTGCCAGCCATCTTGAATATAATCCCTATTAAACTGTGTCAGAAAGGAATAGGCTATGTAGCCTGAGGTGGTAATCTCCAAATCTCAAGGATGAAAGATTTCAATGGTTCATTTCTTGTCAAATCAACATGTCCAGTAAGAATAAACAGGGGTCTCTTCTCACTATGAGAATGATTCAAGGGCTGGGATATAGCTCAGTGGCAAAGCACTTGCCTAGCAAGTGCAATGTCAAAAGAGAAAAGACCAAAAAAAAAAAAAAGTTAAAAGAAAACATGAATCAATCAGGCACACAGGAAAGACCTCACCAACTTTTATTACTACAATCTTAACTTGGGTGGTCACTGTAAAGGGATAATACTGGAGGCTATTGTACCAGCAATTAATTATGCAAGAATGTGTTACTTGGTCCTTCCCTATTCCAAGAGGTCCAGAAGAGGGTAACCTTTCTGTGGCCTGGAAGATTGGATAAACTAGATATAAGTGACCATTAGCATTCTCTCCCAATACTAACCTAAGAAACAGATCTCATTTACAGCCAAGTTATGAAATCAGATGTCCAAAATCATTCTTTGTCTAGTACCCAGCCCTGTAACAAGGACAACAGAGAACTTAGAAAAAAAATCTAAAATATATCCTGGTCCTTCTAGAAACTTGTGCTTTTGCTACAAAAAGCAAACCTGTATATAGCTATACAGAAATGAATTAGCCAGGTGCTAGCTACTCAGAAAGCTGAGATATGAGGCTCAAGATTCAAAGATAAAAAAGTCCAAGGGACACTTATCTCCAGTTAATTAGCAAAATGCTGGACTGGAAGGTGTGGTTCAAGTAGTTGAGTATCAGTTGTTAGTGAAAAAGCTAACAACTGACTCACAGCTTCTAGGTTCATGCCTGCAATCCCAGCTACTCAGGGGGCTGGGACCTGAAAATTGTGGTTTGAAACCAGCCTAGGCAGAAAAAAGTCCATGAGACTCTTAACTCCAATTAAATACCAAAAAGTTGAAAGTGTCACTTGAGTGACAAAGCTAAAGGACAGCTCAGGCTGAGTTCAAACCCCCAAAAGATAAATAAGAAAACCTTCCTCCATAAGCCTAAATCCTGGAGCTGGTGAAGGTATCTCCTATTGGAAGAAATGAGGAGGAGGAGGGGTGTGACCTGGTACCTTGATTCTAGATGTCCTCTAGCACTACCACATTGACTTGGGTGTGGCAGGAAGGAAGGACCATTCTCTTTAATACTATAGTTTAAATGCTGTCACAAACCTCCTTACATCTAAAACAGTGTTCTTAGCTATGCTAAAGGCTTGGAGACTCTGGAGAGAGATGCAGAGAAGCAGATAAGCTGACTCAGGATGAAGCTGCTCCTGTAGGTGTCATATTTCTCAGGATGAGCTTCCTCTAAGTCTCTTAACTCTCCTTTTACAAACCCCCTAGGACTCCCCTCTTAGATACTGACTGACACCTTCCAAATCAGGACCCAAAGAACCTCAGGCTTCTTGCTCCCCAACATTTTTTTGGCTTCTTTTTCCTGTCTGTAGAACTACCTTTCTGAAAATGGAATAACTTGAGAATGAGTTTACCCTTTAGGGTACTCTAGTGTGTCTATATGTACACACACACACATATGCACACACACACACACACACACACACACACACACACACACACACACACACACACACACACACCTGCCTCCTTACAGAACTAGTATGTTGTTGCCAATTACCAAATAGCAGGTGGCCCACACCTGCTATAGAATCTGGACCAGCTAGAAAATGCATCATGTGTTGGTGAATTACACTGATGTTCCATCCCTAGAATTACTTTAATTCTTTCTTTTTTTTGGGGGGGGGGTCCAGTCGTGGGGCCTGAACTCTGGGCCTGGGCGCTGTCCCTCAGCTCTTCAGCTCAAGGCTAGCGCTCTACCACTTGAGCCACAGCACCACTTCCGGCTTTTTTCTTTTTGCTTATGTGGTGCTGAGGAATCGAACCCAGGGCCTCAGGCATGCAAGGCAAGCACTCTACCACTGAGCCGCCTTCCTAGCCCTTTACTTTAATTCTTTATGTAGAGATCTTAACTTAGAAATCTAGATTGTAAAAGCTGGGCATGGTGGTAACTACCTGCAATCCCAACATTTGGAGGCTGAGGGTGGAAAATCACAAGTTTGAGGACAGTTGAAGCTGTCCTCTGGAGTTGGAGGTGCATGGCTCACTTGGTAGAGTGCTAGCCATTGAGCAAAAGTAGTGGGTACTGTAGCCGGGCGCTGGTGGCTCACGCCTGTAATCCTAGCTACTCAGGAGGCTGAGATCTGAGGATTGCGGTTCAAAGCCAGCCCGGGCAGGAGAGACCGTGAGACTCCTATCTCCAATAAACCACCAGAAAACCGGAAGTGGTGCTGTAGCTCAAGTGGTAGAGCGCTCGCCTTGAGCTGAAGAGCTGAGGGACAGCGCCCAGGCCCAGACTTCAAGCCCCACGACCAACAACAAAAAAAAAAAGTAGTGGGTACTGAGTTCAATTTCTGGTCTTGGACCTAAAAAAAATCTGTCATCATAGTGCATAATATAGGATAATCTCATTTTTAATAAAATGTATGTATTTGTAATATTTGTAGTGAATCAAATGTTCTATAGGACAAAAAACATGCTAAGTTAACCTTGTACACTGGGTACTGCAATGATCTCTGTGTTTTGGCAAATAGAAACTGTTCTTAAGTGGCAGAATTGAAACTCCAAAGGCCACCTTTTTTTTTTTTTTTTTTTTTGGTGCTGGTCCTGGGATTTGAACTGAGGACCTAGCTGTTGTCCTTTAGTTTTTGTGCTCAATGCTAGCACTCTACCACTTGAACCACAGCTCCACTTCCAGCATTTTTGGTAATTTATCAGAGATAAATTACTTTCCTGCCTGCTTGTCTTTGAATGGCAATTCTCAGATCTTAGCCTTATGAGTAGCTAGGATTACAGGCATGAGTCACCAGCGCCCAGCCAAAGCCCACATTTTAAAAATGCTTTTCACATTTTAGATACATATGTGCATGTATACATATATATGTGTGTGCATATATACACACACACTCAGGAAAATGATTAAAAGATGCTGAAATATTAATAGTTATCTTTGGTGAAATTCTTGCTGATTATATTATTTTTCTTTCAGTTTCTTTCTTCTAATGTCTAATATGAAAACTGTATATTATGTATTATTCTTGTAAGCAACCATATTCCACAAAGGCTTTTTTTTTTTTTTTTTGGTCAGTCATGGGGCTTGAACTCTGGGCCTGGGCACTGTCCCTGAGCTCTTCAGCTCAAGGCTAGAGCCACAGTGCCACTTCTGGTTTTCTGGTGGTTAATTGGAGATAAGAACCTCACAGACTTTCCTGTCCGGGCTGGCTTTGAACCTCAGTCCTCAGATCTCAGCCTCCTGAGTAGCTAGGATGACAGGTGTGAGCCACTGGCGACAGAACCAAAGGCCTTCTTATCACACACTGGGTATAGCATCACTCACGCTATGTCCATGGACAATTCTATGTTCTAATAAAGTTTCTTGGCAGGAGAAATCTTGTTTGAGGTTAATGATCAAGTTCACAATGACCTTCCTTATGTTTAACTTCTTCCCTACTTGGCTGTCTGCAGGGGAATGCAATTACGGAGGCAGAGTAACTGATGACAAAGACAGGCGTCTCTTACTGTCCCTTCTGTCCACATTCTACTGTAAGGAAATTGAACAGGACCATTACTACCTTGCTCCTGGAGACATTTACTATGTCCCTCCTCATGGCCCCTACCAGGTAAGGGATGGCCTTCCTCTGTCCCCAGAGGGGCTCAGTAGTTCTCATATGGCTAGGCGCTGCAACGTACCCAAGGAAGGTCCAAGGTTAGCCTTGGGTTTCCTTACTAAGACCCACAAACAGCTTCTAACATTCCAAAGATCCTTCAAGAGAGATGCTGTTATCATTTGGTGAATGCTGGGTATTCGGTACACAATGTTTTTCAAAATACAGGGTATGCTGTGTGCTGGTATCTCACACCTGTAATCCTAGCCATTCAAGAGGCTGAGATCTGAGGATTGTGGTTCAAAGCCAGCCTGCGCAGAAAAGTCTGTGAGACTCTAATCTCCAATGAACCACCAGTGGTGGTAGAGTGGTAGAGTACCAACCTTGAGCAAAAAAGCTAAGCAAGAGCAAGAGACCCTGAGTTCAAGCCCCAATACCAGCACAAGGGATGGGGGTCCATTTGGGGAAACCATAGTGAGGGAAACAAGATAGTAAGGCGGAAGTCTTGGTCATAAGCAGGGTGGTAATTGCTACTTGGGAACAAAGGCTCAAAAGGTGGTAGAAGTCAGGTGCAGGTGGCTCATGCCTGTAATCCTAACTACTCAGAAGGCTGAGATCTGAGGATTGCAGTTCAAAGCCAGTCTGGGGAGGAAAGTCCGTGAGACTAATCTCCAATTAACCACCAGAAAACCAGAAGTGGTGCTGTGGCTCAAGTAGTAGAGCGCTCGCTTTCAGCTGAAGAGTTTGAGGGACAGCGCCCAGGCCCAGAGTTCAAGCCCTATGACTGACAAAAAGAGGAGGTAGAAGGGAAAATCAGGAAAACTTGACTGGGGGAGTCAGGGGATGAGGATGAGACAGGAAAGATGGAAATAAAATAAAGGTACAGGTAAGATGAAAAGAGCTTTTATAAATGCCAGTAATTGGACTTGAACTTAGGTACTATTGTCCCCAAGCTTTTTTGCCCAAGGCTAGGGTTCTAGCTCTTGAGCCACAGCTCCTCTTCTGGGTTTTGAGTCCTTAATTGGAGATAAGATTCTCATGGACTTTCCTTCCCTAGCTGGGTAAATACCATGATCCTGAGATCTCAACCTCTTGAATAGCTAGAATGATGGGTATTAGCTACCAGCACCAAACTAAGAGCTTATTCTCATTGATTCATTTGCTAAAATCTTAGTCCTTTATAACCTCATTTGTCTTCCCATTTATAGATAAGGAAACTGGGGTTTCAGATAACTAGCTTGGGGACTGGGAAGGTGGCTCAGTGATAGTCTTGCATGCTTAAGGCCCTGGGTTCAATTCCTCAGCACCACATAAGCAGAAAAAGCTGGAAGTGGTACTGTGGCTCAAGTGGTAGAAAGCTAGCCTTGAGCTGAGGAGCTGAGGGACAGCGCCCAGTTCCAGAGCTCAGGCCCCGCAACTGACAAAAACAGCAGCAGTAACAACAACAACAAAACAGATTACTAGCTTGGGTTACATAGTAACAGAGCTAGGATCAAAATCCAATTCTGTGTAATTCTAAAGCCAGAACTACAGCATGAGCAGAGAAGCCTGGCAAATAAAAGCTTGAGATTTATTCACCAAGTCTGGGGAGGGCAATGTTATTGATACAGTGGTTCCTATTCAGGGTTAGGCCCTGTGAAATCCCCAGTTGTTGGTGGAACTTGTGATACTGTGTTTGTGTCAGCCAAAGATTTCTTTTCCAGACTTACATTGAATATCTCAGGACCCTCCCCATCACAGCCCACCCAGAAGTATTTGGCCTTCATGAGAATGCAGACATCACTAAGGACAACCAGGAAACCAACCAGCTCTTTCAAGGGGTGCTGTTGACTCTTCCTAGACAGTCAGGAGGGAGTGGCAAGTCCCCACAGGTAAGGCTTGTGGGCAGAAGACATAATTCAGTTTCCTGGACAGTTTTCCATCTAGTGTGTACATAACGAAGAGCACAGAAAAGTCAAGGCCTGGCAGTGGCCAGTTTTGCCTGAGGGAGGGGCTAGGTGCTTTGGCCTTAACTGCTGAGAGTTCGTAAATAAGAATTATAAGGGAGCAAAAGCTGGGTGCCAGTGGCTTACCCTTGTAATCCTAGCTACTCAGGAAGCTGAGATCTGAGGACTGCTTTTTGAAGCCAGCCTAAGCAGGAAAGTCCATGAGATTCTTTTTTTTTTTTTTTTGCTCAGTCGTGGGGCCTGAACTCTAGGCCTGGGTGCTGTCCTTCAGCTCTTCAGCTCAAGGCTAGCGCTCTACCACTTGAGCCATAGCATTAGGAGCCATTCTGCTTATGAATGGAATGGAACCCAGGGCCTCATGCATGCAAGGCAAGCACTCTATCACTGAGCCATCTTCCCAGCTCCAGTCCATGAAACTCATCTCCAATTCACTACCAAAAAGCTAGAAGTGGAGCTGTGACTCAAGTGAGAGAGTGCTAGCCTTGAGCTTAAAAGCTAAGAGATAGCACCCAAGCCCCGAGTTTAAGCCCCAGGGCTGAAACACATACAAAGACAAACAAAAAACCATTTATTTAAACAACAGGGCTGGGAAGGTGGCTCCATCCTAGAGCACTTGCCTTGCGTGCCTGAGGCCCTGGGTTCGATTCCTCAGCACCACATAAGCAGAAAAAAAAAAAGCCAGAAGTGGCGCTGTGAGTCAAGTGGTAGAGCGCTAGCCTTGAGTTGAAGAGCTGAAGGACAACGCCCAGGCCCAGAATTCAGGCCCACTGACAGGACCCAAAAGAATAAACAGCAACAACATAGTCAGGTGCTGGTGGCTCACACCTGTAATCCTAGCTACTCAGGAGGCTGAGATCTGAAGATCAAGATTCAAAGCCAGCCCAGGTAGGAAAGTCTGTGAGACTCTTATCTCCAGTAAACCACCAGAAAACTGGAAGTGGCACTGTGGCTCAAGAGGTAGCAGCCTTGAACTAAAGAGCTGAGGGACAGCACCCAGGCCCAGAGTTCAAGCCCTATGACCAAAAAAAAAAAACAACAAAACAAACAAACAAAAAAACCTGTGTGTCTGGCCAGATGCTGGTGTCATATGCCTGTAATCAGTAGGTTGAGATTTGAGGACTGCTGTTTGAAGCCAGCCTGGGCAGGAAAATCATGACACTCTTACCTCCAATTAACTACCAAAAAGCCAGAAGTGGAGTTGTGGTTCAAGTGGTAGAGCACCAGCCTTGAGCTTATGGCACCCAGGCTTTGAGTTCAAGCCCCAGTACAGACAGACAGACAGACAGACACACACACACACACACACACACACACACACACACACACAAATCCAAAAGACTGTCTCAGAGTTAGAAATGGAGACCAATTTCTTTAAAGTCATGTAAGCATGGAAAGACAGCACGGGAGGGAGAGAAGGAACAGTTATTAAGTTCCTTCCAGATGATATAGCTAGGGCTGGGAAGTTGGCTCAGTGGCAGAGCGCTTGCCTTGCATGCCTGAGGCCCTGGGTTCGATTCCTCAGCACCACATAAGCAAAAAGAAACAAGCCAGAAGTGGCGCTGTGGCTCAAGTGGTAGAGTGCTAGCCTTGAGCTGAAGAGCTGAGGGACAGCGCTCAGGCCCAGAGTTCAGGCCCCATGACGGGACCCAAAAAAACCCCAAAAAACAAACAGATGATGTAGCTAGCCAATGCTTTGTAGGCTTCTTGTGAAAGGGGGGATAAATTAAGAGAAGGAAGGGAGAGGAGACACTATACAAAAAAAAAAATGTAATCATTAACTGATTTATGTAACTAATCCCTCTGTATATCACCTTTATAATAACAATAAAATATCTTTTAAAAAGAAAAGGGGAAAGATGAACAAACATTAAAGAATTGTTAAATTAGCACAGATCTAAAGCTATTTGTCAGGTATGAAGAAAGAAAGATGATTAAAACTTGAAGAGGTTATTTTTCTTATCATTTAATTAAACATTATTTATTTCAGGCCCTGGAAACCCCTAAAATCATTCTTAGTACTTCTTGTGGTCCAGGACACACCTTGTGAAGCAATGACCCAGTCTAACTCAGCACAGTTACTAGGCTACTAGGTAGTTTTCCCTACCCACAGGGAGTTTAACTTAGAGTAGGTTTGTCTACCAGTGAGAGAAGAAGTGAAGAGTTTCAGGTTCTTCACAAAATCAGACCCAGACAGACCCAGAACTATGTTTCCTGTCTAATTCCACCATCTTCTCTCTCCTACTCTGTCCTTCCTTCCCTCCCTTCCCTCCCTTCCTTCCCTCCCTTCCTTCCCTCCCTTCCTTCCCTCCCTTTCCCCCCCCTCCTCTTCCTCCTCCTCCTTTTTTTTTGGTGCCTGTACTGGAACTTGAACTTAGGGCCTGTCAGTGTCCCTTAGCTTTTACCACTCAAGGCCAGTCCTCCACCATTTGAACCATAGTTCCACATCTGGCCTTTTAGTGGTGAAGTGGAATAAGGGTTTCATAAACTTTTTCTTGTCCAGGCTGGCTTTGAATGGTGATGCTCAAATCTCAGCCTCCTGAGCAGCTTGCATTATGGACATGATCTACCAGCACTCACTTTGCATTTCCTTTCTCTAGCATCCCCCTCCCCCCACCACTAAGCTGCCTCGTGGCCAGTCCCTCTCAGCAGGCAATCTTACCTTTTGGGTCTCCTAATTGGGTTCAAAGTGTCATAAGTGGTCATTGGTATGAAAGTAAACCCGCCTGGTTGACGTTGGGGTAGAACTCCCCCAGAAGGGCAAGAAGGAACAAAGCTCCCTTCTAGCCTTCCAGATTCTTAAGGATGGAAGAGCTGTCTGGCTTTCCTATTTCCAGACTGTGATCCTCTGGGCTTGTTCCTTCCCTTCTTGGCTAAACTCAGTACCTTCCAACTTTTCTTGCTGAGTGCTGGGTAATGACCCGTGTACTGCCTTCTCAAGTGTCACTGACATTGGGAACGAGCCCCATCTGCACTGAGAATGCTGTGGGAGTTTCTAAGCCAGACAACACATAAACAGGAATGATACTTTTGGAAAAATAAAAGGGGGGGTGGAGGTATATTTTCTTAAGTGTTCAGAGCTACCCTAAAGCTACCCTGGATGAGTAGGAATAACTTGATCTGAGGGCCTATCCCCAGTTGTGAGGACTGGACTCCCATGGCTTAGTATTTTCATTTTTTGTGTGCAAATGAGTAGAATAATGAGCGCTCTCCACCCCCAAATTGGCTTCTATAAGTTCCCAGGAAGGTCTTACACTTCTTTTTTATTTTTATTTTATTTTGTGTGTATGCCCGTCCTGGGGTTTGAACTTAGGGTATATTGTCCCTGAGCTTTCTTTTTACTCAAGGCTAGCATTCTACTACTTGAACCACAGCTCTTTCTTTTTCTTTTCTTTACTTTTTTGTGAATTTGAGATAAGAGTCTCACTGACTTTCCTGCCTAGGCTGGCTTTGAACCATGATCCTCAGATCCCAGCCTCCTCAGTAGGTAGGATTATAGACAAGAGCCATGGGTTCCAGGCCCATTGAATATATTTAAAAAGACTAGTTGGAGTTGATGGTGCATTGTTTCAAGTTTTCCCAGATAAAACCCTTCTGCAAGTTTCATTTCTCATCCACATCTCTATTGTTTGTACTTCAAGGAAGTGGTTGAGGAGCTGGCCCAGGACATACTCTCGAAGCTTCCCAATGACTTTGACTTGGAAAAGATCATGAAGTTGTATCCTGTGATTTATGAGGAATCTATGAACACTGTCCTCAGACAGGAGCTCATCAGATTCAACAGGTGGGTCAGATGATCTTGCTTGAATCTGAGCATGAGGGGTAAGATTAAGTGGGTAGTGGCTAAGATGGACATTTAAAAAGGGGTTTCTGTGTAGAAGAAGATGTGGTTTGCTCGACTGATAGGGAGAGACACGAAGAGAACCATCCACCACACGTTGCCTAGGATTAAATCACTCCTACGCATTCTCTCCCATCATTCATGTGACGCCCTTAGTCAAGTTAGAATGAATATGAAGTACAAACTAATAGCAAAAGTAGTCATCACAGCAAACCTTCCTTCCTTCCTTCCTTCCTTCCTTCCTTTCTTTGCCCTGCCCTATTTTCTTTCTCCTTTTCTTTCCCAGACCTGGGACTTGAACTCCTGTCTGGATGCTGTCCTTTAGCTTATTTTTATTCAAGGTTAACTCTCTACCACTCGAGCCACAGCTCCAGTTCTGATCAGAGCAACTTTTATTGAGCTGCTAGTGCCAGATATGGTTCCAAGTATTATGCATGGTTTTCATTGAAATGACACATAATCTTTGCAATAGGCACAATTATCAACCTCTCTACCACCATTTTACAGATGAAAAAACTCTAGGCATAATATTAGATATCACATCTAATGACTACCATCCTGTGTTGCTCAGTCTTCCCTAAGGCAACTGAAGTCCTTCCCTGGTGGGCATAGTGACTTTATTAGCCTTAACCACTGACCATTATAACACAAAATTGAGATTCAGAATGATTAGTGGCTTGGACACAGTTATTCAATGAGTACTGAGTTTGAACCCAGGATGTCACAAGTGGTGAGAAAAATTCATTCCAGGGGATGGGAAGGTGGCTCAGTGGTAGAGTGCTTGCCTTGCATGCCTGAGGCCCTGGGTTCCATTCCTCAGCACCACATAAGCAGGAACAAAAAGCCGGAAGTGACGCTATGGCTCAAGTGGTAGAGCGCTAGCCTTGAGCTGAAGAGCTGAGGGACAGCGCTCAGGCCCAGAGATTAGACCCCATGACCGTCAAAAAAGAAAAAGAAAAAGAAAAATTCATTCCATTGCTGCTTCTGTAGAGTTGAGTTGTTCTGGGATGACCATAGTGCCAAGGGTCTCCTGCCCTTCTGGACCTCTTTCATTTCTCTATTACAACATAGAACCCAGTAGGGTCACCTTACATTGACTTCAAAATTCTCAAAACAGCCAGGAACCTATGACTTGTGACTATAATGCTAACTACTCAGGAGGCTGTGATCTGGGGGTTATAGTTCAAAGCCAGCTCAGGCAGGAAAGTCTGTGACACTCTTATTTTCAAGTAATTGCTGAGAGAGAGAGAGAGAGAGAGAGAGAGAGAGAGAGAGAGATGGGTGCTGGTGGCTCACACCTGTAATCCTAGCTACTCAGGGGGCTGAGATACAAGGATTGAGGTTCAAAGCCAGCCCAGGCAGGGAAGTCCATGAGACTCTTATCACCAATTAACCACCAGAAAACTGGACGTGGCGCTGTGGCTCAAGTGGTAGAGCACAGAGCCCAGGCTGAGTTCAGGCCCCCTCCCCCCTCCCCCCCCAAAAAAAAGCTGGAAATGGAGCTGTGGTTCAAGTGCTAGAATGCTAAACTTGAGCAAAAAAGTTCAGCGACAACACCCATACTCTGGGTTCAAACCCTGGCATGCACGCACTTGTTCCTACAAACACACACACACACACACACACACACACACACACACACACACACACACACAGAGCCAAAATTGAAAGCAATCAAAGCCAATTAGACTAAATGAAGAAATTGAGACCCAGAGATGGCTGTGGCTTGATGTGAGTCTTGAGTGACTCAGAGCCAAGTGGCCTAAACTTCATCACCCTGCCTCCAGATCCTGTGGAGGTTGTTTGCTGATGCAGATACTATGCTACTGTCTCTATTTTGCCTTATTGGGTTGTTGCTGAGTTTAGGGACAGCTTTGGAACTGGGAAAATGTCATCTGAGACTTTCTTAGGGTTAGTCTCTTGAGAGTCAAGAGATCACTGGCCATATAGAGACCAAACAAGGTATGGAGTGTGAGCTTGGGAAGAGGCCACCTCTGCTGAGTCAGATGTCTTGGAATGATGTGTTGGCAGTCAGGAGGCCAAATGGCTTCCTCTTCTGCTACTAATCACTCCCCTAAGACCATGGGATATTTGTTGGTGGTTGTAGGGGCCTTTACCAGCCTTTACCACTGGCCATTATAATACAGAAGACCAGGCAATCATAAGCTCCATCTTTAGCAACACTCTATGGTCTTTCTTACATGTTTCTGCCTGTCCATTCAGTGGTACAGGAAGTCCAACATGGCTGATAGTTCAGTGTCCAATTCAAGGAAACCATCATTGTGTTTTCTTGGGCAGGTATTCCTTCCTTGGGTGCTAAAGCCTTGAAACTAGCAAAGTTCCCAATTGTGGGACCAGAATAGAAATGTAAGTAGGGCTAGGTGTTGGTGGCTCATGCCTGTAATCTTAGCCACCTCAGGAGCCTGAGATCTGAGGATCATAGTTCAAAGCCAGCCTGGGCAGGAAAGCCCATGAGACTTTTGTCTTCAGTTACTCACCAAAAAGCCAGAAGTGAAGCTGTGGCTCAGTTGATAAGAGTGAACACAAAACCTCAGGGAGGGGCTGGGAAGGTGGCTCAGTGGTAGAGTGTTTGCCTCGCATGCATGAGGCCCTGGGTTCAATTCTTCAGCACCATATAAATAGAAAAGGCTGGAAGTGGTACTGTGGTTCAAGTAGTAGAGTGCTAGTCTTGAGCTGAAGAGCTCAGTGACCGTACCCAGGCCCAGAGTTCAAGCCCCACAACCGACAAAAAAAAAAATCACTATCATCATGCTGGGTGCTGGTGGTTATGCCTGTAATCCTAGCTATTCAGGAGGCTGAGATCTGAGGATCAAAATTCAAAGCCAGCCCAGGTAGGAAAGTCCATGAGACTATAATCCCCAATAAACCACCAGAAAACCGGAAGTGGCCCTGTGTGGCTCAAGTGGTAGAGTGTTAGCCTCAAGCTGAAGAGCTAAGGGACAGTGCCCAGGCCCAGAGTTCAGGCCCCACAGCCGGCCAAAAACTACAACAACAATAACAACAACAACAACAAAAACCCCTCAGGGACAACACCCAGACCTTGAGTTCCACCCCAGGACCAGCACACACAAAAAAGAAAAGAAGTGTGAGCAGATCTTCAGCTGTAATAGAAATCCTCATGGCAGTTCTTAAGGTGATAGCTTGAGTCCTAAGCAAGCATAGGCACCTAGTGTTTGAACATAAAATTCGCTCAAGTGCAGTGGCCACAAATTCAGGATCCCCTTTCTATATTCACTACTCTTCTGTCTATTGGGGTTGCAAGTCTACAAATTCTTTTTTTTTTTTTTTGTCAGTCATGGGGCTTGAACTCTGGGCCTGGGCGCTGTCCCTCAGCTCTTCAGCTCAAGGTTAGCACCCTATCACTTGAGCCACAGCGCCACTTCTGGCTTTTTTCTGCTTATGTGGTGCTGAGGAATCGAACCCAGGGCTTCATGCATGCGAGGCAAGCGCTCTACCACTGAGCCACCTTCCCAGCCCCAAGTTTACAAATTCTTGAAGACAACAAGTTCTTCTTGGTGACAGTTGTCTTTCTCTAGTGTGTACCTCATAGTTTATATAGAACAACCTTAGTGATATGAATCAAAAGCCCTGAAAACTATAGGTGCTTTTCAATCCAGATGTTCTATTTTAGATCCCTCCACGAGTTACACTGTTACTGAAGGTACTACAATGCCAGGTCCAAGGGTGGAGTGAACAGAGCAAGCTCCTATTCAATCTTCCTGCTCCAAAAATCTATTTAGTATATTGTCCTTGGGTAGAAAATATATCAGATATCAAACTGATGAGAACAGATACTTTACCTGATTTTAGCCCAAAGGGATTTTGTTGAGAGAGAGAAAGAGGCAGAGAGAGAAGAGAGGGGAGAGAGAGAGAGAGAGAGAGAGAGAGAGAGAGAGAGAGAGAGAGAGAGAGAGAGAATAGCTAGGATTATAGGCATGAGCCAGTGACTGGCACAAAGGGAACTTTATACCTCTATTTTATTGAATTGGAAAGAATTTCTTTTCTTTCTTTTTTTCTTTTTTTGGTGGTGGGGCTTAAACTCTGGGCTTGGGCACTGTCCCTGTGCTCTTCAGCTCAAGGTGAGCACTCTACCTCTTGAGCCACAGTGCCACTTCTGGTTTTCTAGTGATTAATTGGAGATAAGAGTCTCATGGACTTTTCTGCCTGGGGTGGCTTTGAGCTGTGATCCTCAGATCTCAGCCTCCTCAGTAGCTAGGATTACAGGTGTGAGCCACAAGCCCCCGGCTTGGAAAGAATTCCTTATATGCTAAAAGAAAATTATGTATATATATATATATATATTATATATAATATAGATTGACCCCAATAAAAACATTGTAGGGTGTAGTGGCTCACACCTATAATCCCTATACTCAGAAGGCAGAATTAGGGAAGACTAAGGTTCAAGGCCATGTATGTTAGTACATGCCTGTGGTCCTAAGTATGTGGAAAGCCATAGGTAGGAGGATCATGGTCAAGATTGGCCCTAGGTATAAATGGGAATCCTATTTAAAAATACAGCAGGAGAGGCTTAGAGTAGTTGAACAAGTGGGTAGCGAGAAGATATCTGGAAAGATACACATTAATCTTTATGTGATAAAGTAATGGGTGACAGAACCTTTTCTCAATGCTTTTATATCCACTGACCTTTGAAAGGGGAGGAATATTAAAGGAGAGCTGCTTGGGTAGAAGGGGGCTACTGGAAAAGATGAACTAAGCCAGCTCCTTTGTTCTTTGCAGGCTGACCAAAGTCGTTCGTAGAAGCCTCATTGATCTTGGCCGGGCCATCAAAGGGCAGGTCCTGATGTCCTCAGAGCTGGAGGAAGTCTTTAATAGCATGCTCCTGGGTAAAGTGCCAGCAATGTGGGCAGCTAAATCCTACCCATCGCTGAAGCCCTTGGGGGGCTACATGGCTGACTTACTGGCCCGTTTGGCCTTCTTCCAGGTATGAGAATGAATGTAAATGGCATGCTTGACTTGATGAAGACATCCTAAAATAATCAATTAGAGGCAAAAGAGGAGGGCAGGCAGCCATGAGACATTCTGTATTTGGCACCTGGAAATGATCTTAGTAGAGGTGAGCACAGGAGTGTTCACAAGATTATAGTCTATGGAGAAACAAGTAAGAACTAGAATAAATGTTACATACAAGTGGCTCATGGGACAGATCTGGCTTATGGATCTGCTTAGTTTGGCTGCTTGTTAATTTCACACTTTGAAGCTAGCATGGAACATTGGATTTTTATACATAAGGAATGACGATATAGGGGTGGGTAACTGTGGTAACGTGCTTGCTGAACACGTGATATGAAGCTCTGAATTAAATCTCCATCATGGCAAAAAAAAATCCAGACATCATCTTGTTAAAACTAGAAGGCTTGGAACAATATTTATATACTTATTTATATACTCCCAATAAGAGTGTATAAAAACTGTTTCTAGAAAATGAATGGCTGTTACACAACAATATATTGCCCTGCTTCACTGCCTACCACTCATTGGGTCCAATACTAGCTTACACCTGTGCTTTTCTTAAAGTAGAAATATTTCTTTGTGCCTTCATTTCAAAAGTGGGAACATGAGCAAGGAGCTGGTGACTCACATCTGAAATCCTACCTACTCTGAAGGCTGAGATCTGGGGATTGCAGTTTTAAGCCAGCCTGGGCAGAGAAGTCCATGAAACTCTTATCTCCAATTAATCACCAAAAAAGGTGGAATGAAGCTGTGACTTAAGTGGTAGAGCACTAGTCTTGAGTAAAAACGCCAAGCAAGAGTGCAAGGCCCTGAGTTTAAGCCCCAGTATCGGTACAAATAAAACTGGTATGTGACCTGAGAATGTGGCTTAGCAGTAGTAGAGCACTTGCCTAGCATGGGTTTGATTCCACAGTACCACATAAACAGAAAAAGCTGGAAGTGGCATTGTGGCTCAAGTGGTAGAATGCTAGCCTTGAGCAAAAGAAGCTCAGGGACAGTGCCCAGACCCTGAATTCAAACAAAACAAAGCTGGTACAAAAAAAATGTAAAGGGGCTGGGTGCTGGTGGCTCATGCTTGTAATCCTAGCTACTCAGGAGGCTGAGATCTGGGGATTGTGGTTCAAAGCCAGCCTGGGCAGGAAAGTCCGTGAGACTCTTATCTCCAATAAATCACTAGAGAACCAGAAGTTGTGCTGTGGCTCAAGTGGTAGAGTGCTCGCCTTGAACTGAAGAGCACAGGGACAGCACCCAAGCCAGAGTTCAAGCCCCACAACTGACCAAAAAAAAAAAATGTAAAGGGCCAGGTGCAGTGGCTCATGCCTGTAATCCTAGCTACTTAGGAGGCTAGCCCAGGCAGGAAATTCTGGGAGACTCTTATCTCCAATAAACCACTCAGAAAACTAGAAGTGGCACTGTGGCTCAAGTGGTAAAGTGCTAGCCTTAGCTGAAGAGCTGAGGGATGGCGCCCAGGCCCAGAGTTCAAGCCCCATGACTAACCACCCCCCCCAAAAAAAATAATGGTAAGCTCAAGAGTTACATTAAATCACTTGCAAGTTAAACCACTTGCTTCAAGCAAGATAAGAAAAACAGTGTGTATGAATCCTGGGTGTGATAGTATATGCTTATTATCTCAGCTATTTGGAAGGCAGAGGCAGGAGGATCGAAAGTCCAAGACCAGCCAGTGCAAAGTTACCTCAAAAACAAAAAAGGGAGTGAAGGTGTGGTTCAAGTGGTAGAGTACCAGCCTTAAGGAAAGAAGTCAAGCAAGACAGCTCCTGAGTTCAAACTTAAGCACTAACACAAACATAGAACAAAACGATAATAAAAGGGCTTGAGTATGATTCAAGTGATAGGACACTGACAATCCCAGTATTGCAGAAAAACAGTTGCTTTGTGGGACTCATTCAGATGACCTGCCATAGGACTAACTTGGTTGCTATTGATTTTGAATTTTGATTTCTGTGACTCTGCAGGAATGGATTGACAAGGGGCCCCCTGTGGTCTTTTGGATCTCTGGGTTCTACTTCACACAGTCATTTTTGACAGGCGTCTCTCAGAATTACTCCCGGAAATACACCATCCCCATTGACCACGTTGGATTTGAGTTTGAGGTAGGGGTGTTTGGGGATCGAACAGCCTAAAGGAACCATCCACAATGGCCTTTTTCCTTGTTAGTCCAAACATTTGGATGTATTAAGGTACAAATGCTTCTGAGATGCTATAAAAGAAACAGCCTGACTTATGATAGTTCCAAAAGCTACTGTCTATGTAGTCAGAGCATTTCCAAGGTATATAAAAGGTAATCTTTCTAGAGGAAAATTCTGCCACTCCCATATGAAGAAAAAGGAAAGCATCCTTCCATGTTTGCCTATTCTTCATGGTGATCTCTTTCTTTGGAGAAATGTCATTGACCTTGAATAGTCATTAGAAATGGGGGAAAAGGTTGGGCACCAGTGGCTTAGGCCTCTAATCCTAGTTACTCAGGAGGCTGAGATCTGAGGATCATGGTTTGAAGACAGTTGGGGTACGAAAGTCGGAGACTCTTATCTTTAACCACCAAAAAGCTGGAAGTAGAGGAAAGAACAAAGAACAAAGAAAAAAAAAAGCTCAAGGACAGTGCCCAGTTCAAGCACCAGAACTGGCACACACACAAAAAAGGAAAAAATATCCCATTCACAACACACAACTATATTAGAATTGTGTTAAATGTAGCTCATGTTCTTCGGTTTGCCATAATCCCTAATACTTCCTTTTATCCTATACCTAGAGCATTTTCTGCTTTGCCAGGAGGAATTAGTGCTTAGTACTCTTCAATATAATCAGTGGTAAGGTAGAGTTGACTCATACCAGGAGCTCATCAGAACCAGTTGTAACATTCTTCAAGAATCATCTAAACTGGTTCTTAGATGGTAGCAGGAAACCACATAAATTGGTAAAAATTATAAATCAGGGATTGATTTTCCTTCCCAGAACTCTTTTACTAACTTGCCTCTGAATCAGAATCAAATCTCTTACTACATACAGCAAGGTGCAAAAACAGGATTGTACCAAGTCATTAAGCTACAGTTAAACATGGCTTCCTGACTCCTAGGCCTTCACCATGTATAAGGGCAACCCAGGAACCAGACCTTGCTCATGTATGGCGGGCAGGAGCATTATCAAACAAGCCCCATTTGTCAGTTGAGATAGATCCTGATGTTGCAGCCAGGCTGATGTTTATTGGTGTCTAATGTAGGAAAAAATGGAAGATGATAGAGCTCACAGCATTCCCCTCTTCCAGGTAACCAAACAAGAAACGGGAATGGAGAATAACCCAGAAGATGGGGCCTATATAAAAGGGCTTTTCCTAGAAGGTGCCCGTTGGGACAGAAAAGTCATGCAGATTGGAGAGTCTTTCCCCAAGATCCTTTATGACCCATTGCCCATCATTTGGCTGAAGCCTGGAAAGAGTGCAACGTTTCTGCATGAGAACATCTATGTGTGTCCGGTCTACAAAACAAGTGCCCGGAGAGGCACCCTCTCCACCACAGGCCACTCCACTAACTACGTCCTCTCTATTGAGCTCCCAACATACATGCCTCAGAAGCACTGGATAAACCGAGGGGTGGCTTCACTGTGCCAGCTGGACAACTGATAGCATTTGTGTCAAAAACAAAGTAAATGGCATCTTGTTCTCTACTACAGTCTAGCTTTTTATTTCCTTTTTTAAAAAGGGATTTATTACCCTACAGTAATTGTAAAAGGGGATTTTCACGGTAACAATCTCATTCATGCATTCAATGTATCCCCATCAGCATTACCCCTTCTTTCTTCTCCTTTTCTTGAAATAGTTTCAACTAGCTGCCTTTTTTTTTTGAGTCATAGTAGAATGAAGATGGTAATTATATGGAGAGCAATTGTTGTAAACCAGGTATTTTACAACAACTCTATAAAGTAGCTTATCATCATCTGCATTTCATAGCTGTAGAAGCCATGTACAGAGAATATAGGTAATATCCCCACAAATCAGGCAAGTAGAATTGATATTCTTCAATTTAGACTGTTAGTCAGTCATTTGGATTAATATCTTTTGTGGTTATTTTGTGTGTGAATGTGTGTCTTGATCCTGGGGTTGAACTCAGATCCTGGGTGCTGTTCCTAAGGTATTTTGCTCACTCTACTTGAGGCACAGCTCCACTTCTGCATTTTATATCTCTATATATCATTGGTAGAATTAGGATCCAATAGCTTCTCGGTGCTGGGGATCAAACTAGCCTTGTACAATCTAGGCAAGTTCTACATACATTCTCAGTCCAGCTCCAGTTGTTTATCTTTAGCCCACATAAAAGAGCTAAAATGTCAGGAAAAGAGTTGAGAACTATATTTGTTGCATGCCTATAGTATGTCAGGGTTTGTACCCAATACACTGTTAGATATCTTGCTTGATTTTATATACTGTAAACATTGTCTCTCCCTTGAGTTCAGGGAGATTAAGTAACTTGTTTAAGATTACCCAGTTCTTTATCACTGTAGATCCAAGTGGTTGAAGCCATGTACTTTCTGCTGCCTTCTGTCTAGGCACTTGGTACATATTCAGCTGTAGATTGTTGGAAGAGATGTGTAGTTCCGACAACATTTACTGTGTCCAAGAAAATTCAATCACTTCTATTTCCCTAGGATAGCTAGAAACAAATCCAGAGACAAAAATCAAACTCATGACGGATTCTTCACTGACTCTCATGTAGTTCTTTGGCTCTAAATGGCTTTTTTTAAGGGTGTTTCTTGCTCACTTCATAGTCAAGCAAACATAAGGCTGAGAGTTTTCATGTCTGGCTGACTTCTTTTCTTCTTTACTAGAACAAATGTTCTGACTCAGGGCCTCTGATTATTCAATGTGGAAAGCTTCTTTGAGAATAAAAAAAAATACTCCAGAAAACCTCAGTTTTAATTTCTTCATGGTGCTAGCCAAATTGACTGAGGACTCTGAATTCTTAGATAAGCAAACCTTCCAACTCTAGGAATTGAGTGCAAGAGAAGGTCTCCAAACCTCACCACAGGACATTAGAAACAGTGAAGAATCAGCATCAAACTCAAAGAAGGTATCTTAATAGTTTGTTTTTTTCAGAAACATACCTTTTCCCAATGTGTGTGAGAATCAGCAGAAACAGACAGCTGTTGCTTAGTCATGTGAGATGGAAAAATAGTCAAAATCCCAAATCCTAACTCTTGGATCAGTAGGTAAACCACATTGTAGGCTATACAGTAGCTTGGCAGTAAGAGTGTTTCTAAGAGAACAATTGAAAGTTAATTGCAGTTTTGGAATGCCAGCTTCAGCAACAAAAAAACTGAGTGAGTCAGGGACTGTCTCATTCCTCAGGGGTTAAAGGACAAAATGTTTTTTTCTGTTATGATGGATTATATATTTTTTGTAATATAAAACATTTCTTTCTCTTTGAAAACAAAGATTGCCCTAAATTTGAGGTCACTTTCAATTGGGGCCAGTATGGAAACAATGTCTCCTCCTGGGAAAGAGCAAGATACTTTTCAGAAATCATTGTGATTTAGTGACTGGAATCCTAGGGCAGAGATGGTCAGAGACCAACCCTGTGAGAAAACAGCAAGCCTGGTTGTAACATGCCAACTCAGTGGATGGCATCAGGCAAATCGAGTCATTAAGCTAGTCCCTGCTCTTAAAAATCTGTTAAGCTGGTACAGTGGCTCATGCCTGTAATTCCAGAAACTTAGGAGGCTGAGATTGAAATATTGAAGGTTCAGGCTAGTCTAGGCAAAAAAGTTTATGAGACGGAGGTGGTGGCGCTGTGGCTCAAGTGGTAGAGTGGTAACCTTCAGCAGATGAGCTCAGGGACAGTGCCCAGGCCCAGAGTTCAAGCCCTCGGACCAAAAAACAAAAAAGTTTATGAGACTGACTGGATGTGGTGGTGTATACCTATCATCCTAGCTATGGTGAAAAACAGGAGTATTAAAAAAATTGAGACCCTATCTTAAAATAATCAACACAAACAAGGGCTGAAGTGGGGAGAGGGAGGTGGCTAAGTTACTAGTAGAGTATCTGCTTAGCAAGCTTGAGGCCCTGAGTTCAAACCCTAGTACTGCCAAACAACATCTAGCTGTTGAATACACAACTGTAGTCACTCTTCAGTGATAGAAAAAAATACATTAAAGAGTGGATGTGGTAGGTTTGCCCCTTAAAACACTGAAGATGGATTTTATAGTCTCGAAAATGATGAAAATGCTATTAAAAAAAGAAAAAATGTTCAAGTGCAGTGGTATATACTTATAATCCTAGCTTTTGTGAGGATGAGGTAGGATTGTGAGTTCAAGGCCAGCTGGGCTATACATTGAGTTCAGGCTAGCCTGGGCTGCATATTAAAACTCTGCTTCAAAAACACAAAAAACAAGTAAAGTAAGATGTAACTTACATGAAAGATTTGGGTAGTAATTGACAATTGTTTTTATGTTACAGTGTGTGTATCCATTTTTTGTCATAGTATATATAAACACACTATATATTGTCATAGTATATATATATAGCATAATATATATACACATATACACATTATAGTGCTATTATATATATATATATATATATATATATATATTGTGTGTGTGTGTGTGTATGTGTATTCTTTGCTTCTTCACTAGAACAAATGTCCTTACTCAGGGTTTCTGATTTTTCCTGAATGTGGAAAGCTTTGAGAACAAAATAAACACATTCCAGAAAACCTCAGTTTTAATTTCTTTATGGTGCTAGCCAAATTCTTTTGGGGCATTCTGAATTCTGAGATAAGCAAACCTTCCGAATGACTCTAGGAATTCAATACAAGAGAAGACCTCCAAATCTTGCTACAGGGTAATAGAGATAGTGAAAAATCAGCCTCAAACTCAAAGAAGGTATCTTAGTAATTGTTTTCAGAAATGTATCTTTTCCCAAGGTGTATGGGGAATCAGAATCAACAGACAGCTGTCATGTAATATGGAAAGATGGTCAGGATCCCAAATACATATACAGCATATGTACTATCTTTGGAAAGGGGCAAGACATAAAAGATTCACATTTAGTTAACATTTCTGGCATGTATAAGATCTTCAAATTGACTAGCAATTTGATGATCTTCAACTGTGGAGGCTGATTGGGAAAGGTGGTTTCTACACTCTGTAGAGTTAAGACAAAAATTATACATAGTTGAAATCACCTTGGGTTGCTTAGAAAAGGACTGTGAAAGGAACCATGATAAAAATAGATAAGTCATATCTCAACTGGACCAGAATAGCCAGTCTTTCCTCCAGTGTTAGAAACAGATTTGGTAGACCACCAAATAAAGCCCTTGGATTCAGTTCACGTATCCAAAATTGCATGGGGTGTACTTTAGACTCACCTCCAGGAAGGGGACACTACCATAGGGGCCCACTGGAAAGACAGTGACTAAGGGATGACAGATTTTTGTGCTCACTGAGTGGCCATGGCTCACCAACATACCTGCTAGCACACTTACACTTTTCTGCCTCCAGAAAGACTTACAGTTATATACATGATATAACTCTACTGATATATTATGCTTCTGTTCATTGGAGACAGACTCCATCCACTGCATCACAAGCCAGTTTTGGAAAAGATGCAAAGACAAAAATCGGAAGTGATTTTTTTTATTAGTCATGCCCACTCTCTTTGGAGGTATGAGAGGCTGACATGGATGCCATGAACTCTCAGATGACTTCACAGGGAAGAGTGCAAATCCTTTGTATTTTCATCTCTATTTGCCCCCTTTTTTTGATTTAATTTGAAAGTCAGCTTAGACCATGTACTTTTCTATTATGCTAAAGTACAATGAATGTAAATGAGTTTCAAGGAAACTTTTCAGATACTAAGTACATCTTTCTTAATCATAGAATTTAAGATAAGGCAAAATTTGCACTTAACTAAGGCATGAACTTTTGTGTATGTGTGGGCAGGGGACGTGGGGGATGAATGTCATAAAATTTCCATAGCAAACCACAATTAATCCAAAGATGGACTTTCTGAGGGCAGTTCATCTGGAAATTAGAAGGGTAAAAAGACAGCAAAAAATAGCAAGTGTAACTTGAAGAAAAATCCCTCAAAAAGATTCTGAGGGTGATAAATAATTTTAGAGTAGCCATGAGAACTTCCAGCAACTGGCTAATTTCTTTCCACCAGCGATATGTGAAGAATGGCATTCCCACGTAAGCTTCAGTGAGGATGTAAGGCTCATCACCCTAGAGTTAATTTCATTCACTCAGCAGCCAAACTCGGAGGAGGGCTGTACAGGTACACATCAGTGGAAACACCAAGAAGATATTTCAATTGTTGCCTTTAGTCAAGGAGAAGTGTCTTATTGTATGATTTACAGTCAAGAGCAAATTGGTTCATCATTTGCAGAAACAAATATCTTCTGGGTTAAGAAACTTCATCATGAGACTTGAGATATACTGGTTTGGAAAGTTTCCTCAGTTTCTCTTGGGTTCGAAGTCCTCGGCCTTGTAGTGGTGTAAGGCTCATTGGAGGCAGATGAATCTGAATAAAGATAATGATGGTATTAAGAATCATACTTGAGTCAGGTGCTGGTGGCTCATGCCTATAATCGTAGCTAGTCAGGAAGCTGAGATCTGAGAAATCTC